AATTTTAAATTAGTAATACTTTTTTCCTCAAATATGCTCCCTTTCTTTTACCACTTCTGGATCTGGCTTACTGTGATAAAACTATCCATCATTTTCCATAAATCTTTATAAAATTATGCAGAAAAAATATGGAAAGCATTGTAATAATTGTAATATTTTTCAAAGTCTTTGTCTGAAGTATCTTTTTCTCTTGACTATAACTGTAAAATAGTTATTTTACAAATGAAGAACTCAAATACATGGACTTAATCAGTTTTTTACTATTCAGGATTTTTCCTTTTGTGACACTCTAAGTCTTCTTAGATCTTTTCTATATCATCAATCGCTTTTCTTCTTCTTTACATATGAAAATACTCTATGTGTCATTATTGTAATACCTCCCTGACCCCTCGCCTACTAAATTCCAACCACAAGTAAATCAAGAATCTATAGTGTTATAATGTATTCAAGCTGAATATTGCCGGAAGGAATCATGAAACTTTTCTCATAGGTTTTCATTCACTACCTAACTCTCAAACGTGCATTAAACTCTACCCAACAATCCTCATTTCTCAAGTTATATTTATTTACACAGAAACTTAATGGTTTATGACCTCAAACTGGGTCCTTTTTCCCTTTCTCAGAATTTGTAACCAATAATAAAACAAGCATGAAATGAGTCGTAAAGGAGATTTTTATTCTTGCCCAAGAGAAGTTGGAGATAAACTCACAAGTTAACTTGTATGGTTTGAATGTCCCTCCCAACAGTTAATGTACTGCAATCTTGGTCCCCAGTGTGGAGGTGTTGGGAGGTGAAAGATTTATATGATCTGAAGAGAAACCAGAGTATGGTGGTATTGGGAGGTAACAGAACCTTTAATAGATGGAGCTGGATGAAAGTGGTTGTGTCACCGGGTGTGCTGCCATCAGAAGAGATTAATGTAATTCTAGCAGGAACCTGATTAGATCCTTTAAGAGCAGTTTTTTATAAGCAGAGCAAGGTTGGCCTGTGAATATAACTTAATATTTCCTGATGTGATCTCTTGAACACTCCCACAATTTTGACACCATCTGACAAGAAGTCCTCACCAGAGGCTGAACAGATGGAGCCATCTAATCTTGGAATTTCAGCCTATAAAATGGTGAGCTAAACTTTTCTTTATAAAGTACCCAGCCTTTGGTATTTTGTTACAACAATGTGGAACTGAACAGAACATATAGAATGGTAAAGAGAAAGATACAGGAGAAGTTTCCAGCTTTATCTTCTAATTTCATGCATTTAAAAAAATTGAATAAAATATTCAAGTATAAATTGGCCAAGAAATGACAAAGAAAGCATGAAAGACTGGTTGGTAAGATAATTCTTTGAACAAAAAAATTCTCAGTATAAATTATTAACTCATCCTATGAAAGACTTTAAGACTTTTGATTCTAATTTCAGATGCAAGAGGTGTAGGAAGAATATGTTATAAATAAAAGTATAAGGATATATCTAAAAGGATAAGATTTTAACTAGCCCAATTTAGGTAACAAAATTATTTCAACTTGATTTGAGAGCTATCAAATATATAAAATTTTAAAAATTTTGCACCGATTTTGAAGAATTTCAGTATAGAAATAGAGTGAGACTAAAGCTTTCCTGGACGTACACAGAATATAGTATAATTAGAAAACATATTGTGCGAAATAATAGCTTTAAAATTAAAGTAAAAGCCTTGTGATATTTCTCTAAAATATAAAGAATCCATTTAATCATAAGAAAAACACCAAATAAACCCAAATTTAGAGCTATTCTACAAAATACATGAGTAATATCCTTCAAAATTATCAAGGTTGTAGGGAGAAGACTAGTAAGTCGTCACAGATAAGAACAGATGAGTAAAGTGAGGAGAAATTAAAACTAAATGCGATGTAGTACCATGGACAAAATCCTGAAGTAAAGTACAGACACAAATGAAAAACTGGTGAAATCTGAACAACACACAGAGTTGAGTTAATACTAATGTATCAATGCTGGTAACTTAATTTTAACAAACAATACAGCAATGCAAGATGGCAAAATCAGGAAAATATGGGAACTCTAAGTAGCACACTATCTTTGAAACCTTCCTGTTATCTATAACTATTCCAAACAAAGTGTGTTTGCTTTTGGGGTTTTTTGTTTGTTTGTTTGTTTTTTGAGACCAGGGACTGAACTCGGGTCCTTGCGCTTGCAAGGCAGGCCACCGAACTGCTAAGCTAAATCCCCAGCCCTCAAAGTGTGTATTTTGAAGAAATCAAGTTAAAAATATGACACTAATCCAAAAGTTTAAATATACGATTATTACAACAATAAAAACGAATACTGTTTGACCCAATGGCTTACAAATATGGAAATTAAAATAAATCATCAACAACCGCTTTCCATAAAAAAACATAACTATAATACAGTGATAGATAATATCTGTTTATAAAGACTTATTGGCAAATACTGCCAAATGTTGGTTTTTTTCTCTATTTATATGATGAGAGGCAATGGGGAAAAGAGAGGAAGTAGGAATGAATGGCAGTCAATATTTAATTATACTCTATGTGTTTATTTTTAGTTAAGAAAATAAATGATACAAAACCTAATATTTGAGTTTATAGTATAATTGTTTCCAAGCACATGAAAATACTTTTAACTATCTCTTTAATAGCACAATGAGTAATCTAAAATTCAATATACTCAGTAGATAACAAAAATATAAAAACAGGTACTCATTTTACAAATTTAAATATCTTCTATTAATCTGATGATAAATGTCAGACTTTCATATCTAGATAGGATAGAATCCTTTATGGTAGACCAATGCTCCAGCCAAGAACAGAAGAAAAATTGCAAGATTAAACACATTTGTATAAAGGCAACAGAGTGCTGTTGCCACAACAATAACTCCAGTGGCTAAGATACTGCAGAGGAGTAAGTGGAAAGAGGTGACTGAGGTCTGCAGGCATTTTTAACCCTTCAGAATTTTGTAGTTTCTAGGTATTGGGAAAGTACTAAGAAATCAGATTGAATAAGGAGAGAACTCTGGTTGGAAGACAGAGATGCCTGAGTTTTTGAAGTTATATAGAACTGAAGTAACAAAACTGGAGTAATAGTGTTTATCACAGTCTTACAATGCTGAGGGGATAAACACTAGAATTCAGGATGTTCCAGGATTAGGGCCTTTGGGAATACGCAGCTCTCAGTTTGGAAGATGATCACAGGCGGATCCATATTTACCAAAATTCTCCAGCCCCATGGAAGAGCATTTTAGATACAGTACAGCATTTTGGATACAGATAAAAATGAACTAACAGGAAACATTTGATGAAGTAGGAGAGAAAAGGAACAAACTGATTAGTGATGACCTTGAGTGAAGAAAGAAAAAATGTGAATTAGTAAAGAAGTAGGAAAGCCACAGTAAAAAAGAAGTAAAGCAGAAAAGGAAGGGGATGTGGGTATTAATGCAGTTAGGCTGGGAGATGATGAATTGTCAGTGCCATGTGCAAGCTCATTTTTGTCTGGAGAAAACAGGTACATCTAAAGAGAAAGGAGAATTTATACAGTCCTCTTGAGGGGACTAATGAAAGCCAAGAAGAATGCCAGGGAATACTAAGTGCTAAGTTTAGACAGCAAACTGTGGGACTTATTCTTTTCAATAAAGCTGTGAAGGTATAGAACAGATAGAAAGAGGAATTCAACCGGGCTTTGATTTTACTAGGTGAGGTTGAAAAAAAGAGAGCGGATCCAGAGTACTAAATTTAAGAAAACTAGTGATAATTATGATGGGCTATCATTTCTGAGCTATATAAGGAGAAAAAAAGAGCTGGACATGGTGGTAGTTCAAGCCTCTAATGACTGGAGGCTAAGGAAGGAGTTCCACAACCCCAAGCCTAAAATGGGTAACCCAGTAAGACTCTGCCTCAAAATTTAAAAACAAAGGCAGGGGCTTTAGCTCAGTGTGGAAGCCCCAGGGTTTAAGGCGAGATGGAAAGAAGAAATTTATGAAGTTTGAGAGACCAAAAAGAATTGATAAGATTCATAAAAAGAGGTGCCAGTGGAGTTGAAAAATAGCTTAAGTTGGGAGTTGTAGAATAAATGAGCCAGTAGGTGAGAAAGTAGGTAAACATCAAAAATAGGAATGCTTGACAATGAAACTCCTAATGAAAGATAGGAAACAACCATAGATTAGATTGCAGAAGTACTGGAGTGTATAGTACTCAAGAGAAACTCCAGGAAATGAGGTGAGCATATTGAAATGTCTACAAAGATATGTAAACCACCAAGAATTTGACAGGAGTGAGTGAAGAAAGAGACAGTGAAACCGACCCAAAATCTTTATGAAAAGTGACAGGAAGAGTGTACATAACTACAATAGGGTGTAATGAGTAGTATAATCTGGTGTGTAAGTTTCAAAGCTGGAGCAGTTAAGAAAAGAAAAAGAACAATGACCTAAAAACAATAATGAAGAATTATCTTTCAGGCTCAGTGGTATAACTGGTATGGGACAGAGTAACACAGGCACTCCTCAAGAGAAGTCTCAGGGCAGAAATAAGGGCTCAGTTAGAGCACGAATGTGTTAGGTAATGTTCAGAACAAAGAGTTTACTAATAATGACCCATTAAATAATATGTACTAGAAGGCAGCAAATTAGGCATTTGGCATAAAACAGTAAAAAAAGACATATTCACAGTCCTCACAAAACTGCAACTTAAGTAAGAAATCTAGTATAAAAGTGATTATTTTAAAGAATATAAGTACATTTTTATAATAATTAACATGTTATAAAGCACATATTTTACTAAGAAATGATGATGCAATAAATTGTATAAAGAAATGCAAGTGTACATTTTGAATGGCTTTATAATTATTTTAATATATCTGATTATTGTGGCATTAATTTTGTGCCAAAAACTTATGTGAACTGAGACTATGTGGGCAAAAATCACTTTAATGGTGAAATAAAGAATAAAAAATGGTAAGTATGTGCTTTTCGGGATACATGCAGAATTACCTGAGACAAAGCAGCATCTCGTTCTTCTATCACAGCATTCATTTCTTCTGCAGTTATTCTCTTTTTACATTCCTTGCTCCTGTAGATTCTATCCACAATTATAGCTCCATTCTTCTGAATAGCTATCCCTGTGTCTGCATTGTTTATTCTGTTCAGTAATTCCTGTAATGTCTACCAACACCATTATATGTTAGTCAGACATGAAGTTTTAATATATTTTATTTAATATAGGGTTTTAATTAATAGGCACATGTGAATTGTAAATTGACTGAGTGAAGTTATTGAATTTTCATATTGCAGCAAAGATGTACATTATTAGTGTGTCAATTCTTCTTTTTCCCACATCTTAGTTCTTGAAACCCACTCAATTGAACTTAAGCCTCTAAGATATAAGACTGACATCAAGAAATCTCCTCAGAGAATGGCTTACCATGTCATTTTCTTCAGGGTTAATATTTTCTAGCCTAGAAAAAAGAGACACAGAAAGCCTGATCAGTAGCATTTCCTTAGTGCAGCAAAATGAGTTCGCTTTTTAAATCTTTAGAACCTCAAGTAATTTCATTCGACTAGTCTTTAGAGTCAACCATGACACTGAACATATTAAAGTGCCACCTGCTCGACTCCATCTTTCAATAATGCTCTATATCTTCTGCACTGACTTCAGACTGTTAAGTTATTAATGTTTACTGCTATATATGACTACAAGGATCAATTGTTCATATGTGCTTAGATGAAGAAAGTTCCCCAGTGATAGAAGCTCTCACACTCATCATTATATTTATTCCTAGACTTTCAGTTCTTATCACAAACTGTATTTCCTCTCTTTTTTGGACACAATCACAAGTAAAACAAGGCAAGTATTTTTATTACAAAGTTTAACTATGTTTCCTCAAAAGCAATGATAAATAATTATACTAAATCTAACCTGAGAATTACTCTTTATTTGTTAAAACAAATATACCATATAGAAAGCCTGACCAAAATTGGACCACTCTTTCAGATAACTGTTTTGTTTTCACATATGATATCATTCAACTAAAATACAAAGAAAATAGGTTGATTTCCCTTATAACACATTTAGTCTCATAGTACTTATTGATGAACTAAGAAAATGCACTAAAGGAAAAGAAAGAAGTTCTGAACAACATCTGAGAAAATGCCTATAATTTAGGCACCCACAAAATTGAATAAATTAATAGAAAATCTGTAATGGATATTAGTGAAATTATATACATTCTAAACACAATCTCAATTATTTTGAAAATAAACTAAAAAGTTAAGATATTCAAGTTACTGTTTTCAGGAAATATTCTGTTGACTGACACTAAGTTGTTTACTTTGCTCACTCATTATCATATAACAGACCTAGAATGTTAGATTTACCAAAAACCAGTTCCAATTAATTTATCAGAAAATGACACCATTACATATTATGTATTTTGAGGGACAGTCATACAAATTAAAGTGTGAATTCTAAATTCGTATGCTTGGTATACAAATATATAAACCTAGGAGTGTAAAAATCGGGTTGAGGAGGAGTCTTGTACAATAACCAATGCTAAAGCAACTGTCATTCACTGCTGCCCAAAATCTGGTTTACAGAATTTTGGAGAACTTACATAGGTTTTGCTTCTTTTGAAAATGGCATGAGGACCAAGACATGGCAGGAGGGAGGGTGGAAAGGGAAGAGGATGTAAAAAAATTAATATGTGTGATACACATGTACCACCTTCCCCACAGTGAATGTAACTGTTATGTACTGCAAACACGTACCAATAAAATCTTTAAAACAAAAGAATTTAAACCTTGTGTAAACTCTAAATTATACCTACCACAGTCTAATTTGACAAAGACATGATATTTAGTAAGAATTTTGCTGAAGTACATTTCTACAAGCAAGTTTTGATTGATTTCCTATACCATGCAAATTCTGACAATCTTGTACTCTAAGTGAAAAGACCCATGCATAAAATTCACATTTCTTGATTTGTCCCTAAATCAGTCAGTTTCATCTTTTTCCTTCCTGAACTGATAGTGAATCATTTTGTTCAATAGTAAGAAATAAAACCATAACCTCAATAACAAAGAACTACTGATCAGTGAATCAAAAATTTCTGACTCGTTTGCTTTTTTGCTCATTTTTACACGTGCCAAAATTAATGTAATTTTAAATACCCAAGAATAAAAGAGATTGAAGAAAGATGTCAACATCTCAGGAGATCAAATGCACATACATAGTTATGTGTATATTTGTGTTTGTGACTCATTTTAACTTGAACCCTTATTTTTTTACCTAGTTTTAGATTGAAGCAAAAAAGAAAGAAAAAAATCATCGAAAATTCAAGATATATACGAAAGGCAAGGAAACAGTTGAGTAAGATGAGATACACACTATAACAGAAAGAGACAAAGTAGGTCAGAAGTGGCAAAGGAGATGGAGAAAGAAGACACAAAATTTGAAGTTCAGCAAGATATAGGGAACAGAATTAATTTATATAATTATATTCTATATTTAATCCTTCCAAATATGTCCTTGAGTAAAGTAAAACTTAGTTATGAACTAATTCTAAAATTTAGCCTAAAGTGATCTCTTGAACAGACTCAACTGAAGAGAAAGGAACCTCCACGGTACCATACAACATTTCGCTGATAACTACTCCTTTTGTTGCTGTTTTTGCTTGGTATGAATAACCTTTCTTAATTCCCACCCACCTTACTCCTAGACTATGATACAGTAGAAGCTCCTACTATAAACTGTTTTGAGGAACCAATAATCTTTGTACCAATTAATACTGTTTCGAATATTTGTATACTTATTTAGATCATGTTCTTAACTAAACTGGAACTTGCCAGCAACTAGCACTGTACCTGACATTAGTATATATTCAATAAATATTTATGGAATTGATTAATTGAAAGAAAAAGCTGGGGATTGAATGTTTTTCTTTTCTCTCATTTCCATTCCTCTCTTAACACAAATGCTACAAATAACAAAATGAAAATGTCTCTCTCAAGAAACAGTAGTTTCAATATACTGTCATAAAAAGTGTAACAAATAAATGTACAAACTAAAGAAGATATACAATGGAGGATAAAAAAACATCAGGAAGAAAGGCAGGATTTGTTAAAATATAAGTTAAGAGATAGAATGAACAAAACTAAGAGATTGATTTAATAGGTTTTCTAAGGAAGAACTTTTGGTTGGGATATGTAGGTAGGTGGTTGAGTTACTGATCAAAATAGGGGATTAAGGAAGAAGATCAGGTTTTAAGAGTGAATTAATAAATTTCATTTTGTATGTGCTAAATTATAGTTGCCACAGTAAATCTGAGGTAGATAATTCTAACAATGTGACTTTATGGACTTTGACTCTTTAGCCAAGTATCAAGTGCCCTAATCTTTCTCATCTTTGAACATAAATATCATCTACCTCAAGAGTTGTGATGCTATATGAAAAACTGATTTGTTATCTTTAGAGGATTAATCTTATTTTTAAAAAAACAGAAATATCTATGTAGAAGCAAATGTTCTGAATAGAATGGAAGACTGACTAGGTAGCAAAATTAGTGGACGTTATACTACAGCATTATTTAGCAGCAGATAAACTAAACATAAGAGTACACATAAATATCCAAAGAAGAGTTCTAAACTTTAAAAACTATTTATTAAGATATAATATGTATCTGTACATTTTTATGAGGTACACCAAAAACAAAGGGCAAATCAGAAAAATAACTCCATCTCTTTAAACATCAATCATTTCCATGTGTCTAAAGTTTTAAAAGATGCATAATTGAAAAATTTAAAAGGATATATACTTTGAAAGTATATATAAAAATTTGGTTCTAGCAAAGACTTCTGCAATATAAACAAACTGATTCTAAAATGTATATCTAAAGGCAAAGGTACTAAGACAACCAAAACAATTTTATGTTATAAAAGAGCACGTTTGGAGGACTGAAATCTGATTTCAAGACTTAATATAAAATGAAGTAATCAAGACTGTGTGATGTTGGCAAAGCAGTAGAGATATGTATCAGTGGAAGAGAATATCATGTCTGCAATATGACCAGATATGGCCAAGTTATTTCTGACAAAGGGAAAAAGAAAATTTAATAGAGAAATGACAGACTTTTCTATAAACTGGAGTAGAATAAAGTAATGTTCACACACAAAATAAAAAAAAAAGAATCCCAAATATACCTCATACCATTCACAAAATTAACTCCAAATGTATCACAGATATACATTTAAACACAAAGTTTACAAATTCTAGAAGAAAATATGGGAGAAAAATCTGTGTGACTTTTCATTTGGCAATGAGTTTTAGGATCAATACAAAAAGTGTAACCATAAAAGAAAATAAAAGCAAACATTAAGTCATGTTTTACAAAATTTAAAAGTTGTGTTCTATTAACTATACTGTTAAAAGACTAAAAAAAGGGCAAGATATGGAGTGGAACAAAATATATGAAAACCACTTACCTGCTTAAATATTTCTATCTAAAATATAAATAACTCTTTTAAACAAAAAGAAAAATATACAATAAATAACCTGATCAAACATCTGAATAGACACCACAAAAGACAACATGCAGATAAAAACAAACATAAAATATGTTCAAAATTATGTCATCAGGAAAATGCAAATAAAATATTGAGACAACTCTACAAACCTAGTAGAATAGCTAACATCCAATACAAGAAACAACACAAAAGAAAAGCAAAGGTTCTAAATGTGGGCAAGAATGCCAAGCAAGGGGAACTCTAAATCAGTGTTGGTGGTTTCTCACAGAGTTAAAATAAATTTAACACAAGAATCGGTTATTATGCCACTGTTTACTAAACTGTTATGAAAATATTATACTCAGGTAGAAATCTGTACATAAATGTTTATAACAACTTCATTAAACACTGTTCAACCTGGAGGCAATCAAAACATCTTTTATACCACCTGCCTCAAAAGTGCAGGGTCCCAGGTTTGATCCCTGGTACCAAAAAGAAAAAACTCATATATATATATATATGTAGGCAAACTGCGATGGAAAACTAATCAATGAAAAAGAACAAGGTATTAATTTCTGCATATCAGCATACATGTATTTTGGTAAGTGAAAGAAGACAAATTGAAAAGGCAACAGAAGTATAATTCCACTCATATGACATTCCAGAAAAGTAAACTATTAGGTGCAGAGAACATGTCGGTTGATGCTACAAGTTTGGAGAGACAGCATGTAGGTACCAAAAGTTTGACTACAGGAAGGACTGGGGATATTTAAGTGGTAGAATTAATCTGGATACATGACATTATGCATTTACCAAAACCCACAGAACTTATGTTTGTAGCACAGACTGAACCTTAATATATAAAAATAAAATATAATCAGGAGGTCAAAGGATCCTAAAACAGAATGCAGCATATGATAAAACTACATTTAAAAATGTGGAATATGAGAAAAATTAA